ATATTTACATATATTAATTTATTGTTATTCACAGTTATTTATATTTTGTGCAATTAATTATATAGTTTTATATAATACAGCAAAGAAAGGGAATTGGTTAAAATAATTTTTCATGAATAAAATTTTCATTTGTATCAATAATAAATAGATTTATGCGAAGTATATTTTATCCTTAAGTTTGTATTCATGTTTCTAAAATCCATATACAGTTCTAACAAACTCAATTGCATTATTTGAAAAACACTTATTCTTGGATTTGAATTACATATTTGAAAGTGCGCTTTACTTACATTTGAAGCTCAGTTAGAACAATATATACCCAGCGAAAAATGATTTGTTGATTGACGTCAAAATAACATCAAATAGACGTTGAAATCGTCAAACCGACGTCAATTTGATATCATTTCGAAGTCAATCGATGAATCATTTTTCACTAGGTATATAGATGTCACAAACATGAAATTTTAAATAGCTCAGTGGAAAGAGCGGTTATCTGGCAAGTGGAAGGAAGACCCGAGTTCGATCCCAGCCGATGTTTTTCATCTCATATGGCATTAAAAGTGGACATCTGCAAATACACACAAGCACCCCCGGCCAAAGTTTCTGATCTTTCTTTCGTGTGGATACAATAAAATTTATTAAATCCGAAGAAATCTTTTTGAGTTGAAGTGTTGTGCCCCAAGTGGAGAGGCACGTTGAGTAGGTTCGGGATCGGTTGGTCGAGAATGCAAAGGCGAAGAGATGTAGTTCAATAAATAAATTTAATGCACTTTTTGTGTGAACTTCCCGAGTTCTTATTAACTAATACAGATTGATGGTCGCGTAAGTTGCTATCTCAGGACCGGAGGAGCAATAACCTGTTTGGCGTTCTTCTCTGGTCCTTTTATAATCTATAATTAGGTCATAGGCGGGGGTGTTTAGACAACTGTAGAGTTGTTGCATTTAGTGCTGACCTGTCCCCAATATGTTATAATATATTTTCAAGGCGACGCTTAGCGTAGCACTTGCGTAATCATAATAATGTTGTAGCGCTGTCGAAGCGGTTTCTTACGAAACGTTTCGGCAACGCTAAAAATAATACTAACGATTATAACAGAAGTAATTCTATATGAATACTCTAAAAAGTTCTGAGGAACTCCAATCATGGTGCATGTAATTTCCTAAATCATTCTTATAGTATTCTTCCACGAATTCCTAAGGAAATATAATTCAGGAAAGAAGAAAACTTTAGGAACACTTAAAGAATTTATCGTGCTATCTGGGTATACGTGCAAATTATTTCATTATATTGTCCTAATAAAACTATTTACAAATTTGTGTAGCTGTTTTATATGTATGATCCACTTTTATATAATTAATAAATTTTTAATGAAGCAGTAAAACCACGAGAAAAGTGAGCGAGCGAGCGAGATAGAGTGAGTGAGTAAGAGAGACAGGCATATGACTCGCGAGATACAACGAAAACCTTGCTGTGAGCGCATAGCCTGTAGACCGAGCGAGAAAGAGACAATAGATGATACGTTCGCGCTTGTCTAACGCCCGAAGTCGCCTGAAGCACCGTTCGCTCACGGACACGGTCGCGTGAGTGTGTGTGCGTATCGCCTCCCGTGTTGCTCGCGTGCTGCTCGAGGTCCAAAGTTTCTGACACTGGCGTGCAGACGAGCAGTGTGTATGTGTAGCAGACACCTTCCTAGCCTACAAATTCGATGTTTTCGTGTATACGGTGTCCAAAAATTGCATTCATTTTATGCAAATTCTTTTCTTAATAACTTTTTAACAAACAACGAGCGATGGTTAAAACTTTCTGCACGTTACTCAAAAAAGTGACCTTGACAACATATGTCAAAGTGATTGAAATCTATGAGGTCGCCATTATCATGCATGATTACCTTAAATTTTAATTAAAATTATATTTTTCGTATTTTTCATGCAATGTCTCAAAAACGACATTACAAATATTATGATATACAATTGAGACATTGAAACGTCCCTGCAACATATCTGAAACTTTCTGTGCTATCAGGGCAATATTGGATTTTCAATAAAATTTTATTTATATCCACTATTGCCTGTACATTGGCGCAATGCCAATGCACCCTGTAGCAGGGTTTCTGAAGAGTCCACAGCGCCCTACTACCCTAAGCGCTCATACGGGGCGCTAAAGGATTGGCAGGCTTAATTAATTAATATCTCATTAATTGTCGGATCCAAAAATGGAAGAGAACCTACTTACCCTTAACGGGTGTTCTACCAGTTGTGGAGCACCCTCTATATTGGAATACATTAACCAATTCTATATTACATTATTCTACATTATTCTAATATATAACCAATATTGGTGCAAACATGGCTCCCCCTATTGGCGACCCATTTGTTGCTAATGTGGGCTATACATTGGCTCAATCCTGGCGCCCAATATTGGCTTTTTATTATATTTTTTGTTTATCCAATGCTGGCTGCACATTCGTGCAATCATGGCATGCAATATTGACAGTATATTTTTAGCCAATATTGGCTATATATTGGAATATATTGACCAATGTCATTTTAATATATAACCAATATTGGTGCAAGCATGGCCCCTCATATTGGCGATCCATTTGTTGCCAATATGGGCGATGTAATGGATATACATTGGCCAATGTAACCCCAATATACTACTGTGTCCAAAAAGTAAGGTGACATTGCATTTATTTCGAAAATTCTTTATTTATTCTGGCAAATCAATTTCGTCCCCTTCAAAGTAATCCCCCCCTGATATAATACACTTATTCCAACGGATTTTCCAATCTTCGAAACAGTTGTAATAATCGATTTCAGGAATGGCCTTTAGCTCCTTCTTCGCAGCGGCTA